ATATATATATATATATATATATATATATATAAAAGATCCGTTAGGGATTAAATATAATAACTTATCATGGTTTCTATAATTAATGAAATTACTTATTAGCAATAAAAATATAATATCTATTTAAGGTTCACATAATTATAGATCTTAAAAAGTATTGTAATATACTATGTACATATATGTATAATATAATTTGAAAATTGTAACTAAAAGACTATACAAGTAATCCACACACATATATATACACACACAATAATCCAAAACTATAACATGACCTTAAGTGTTGATCAAACAACTCAACAACATATACAAAAGTAGTCAAGGTTACACTGCTAATAGCATGGCTAACCAAAGCTCCAACCTGCCTCCAACTGACTTTATCATGCTCCCATATTAATGCAATCATCGTAATCAAACTATCAGGAAAACATGCAAGGTAAATTAGATTTCAAAAGAATACGCATACAACAAGTATAATATCAAAACAATTATACTACCAATCCCCAACATGTAAACCATACAAAAGAACAACTCATGGTATACAACATATCATCATCACACAAGCACATAACATGGCATTCAACATTTGCCAAAGGTAACACCTTATTCATGTCAAAACATATCAATTTTCATCATAACAATTCCATTCAATAATCGAATAATACAGTGTATGAACAATATTAAATCACATCACATCATATACATACTCCTCAACTAATGCCTCATCACACATTTATCTATGAGATCTCCTACAATATGGTGAGTAATCTAAGTGAATTGACTCTATCAAACCAACACGACCCTTTTACACCTACTAGGTCAACAAACAAATTGGGATACCAATCCTTACCAACATGGTTTTTTGGATGTCGCTACTTAAACTAGGAAGCTTATTATTCATGTTAGGATATAACAACTTAGGCATAAGCCTACTACAATATTAACTCGCAACACTAAGTTCACTATGAAATTAGCCCACCAACTATCTTTCAAATACTATGCTCCTCCGGTACTCAATTAGATAATAAGTTTCCAACCATGTACTTTACTCAATTGGTAACTTTATACATGTGTATCGACCTTGCCCTCACATGGATCAACAACGGTCACTTGTTATCAGTATAGTTTGACATGACCCCAATACTATGGTCACTTATAGCTGGTATGCCTCAACCTGACCCATATATCGCATCAACTAAGGTCTTTAAGGAGACACAGTCATTCATTCCAAGATATAACATCTACTCAAGGAGGATTTTTCAACAAATGAGTTCGTAAAACACCAAAACAATATCCATAAAAAGGAATATCCAACTTTCGAAAACAAGCTATCCTCTAGTCCTAATTCAATCAACATGCCTAAATGCTTATAACATTCTTAGTATCACACCTCAACAATGTATATCAACACAATATGCCTAAATGTCAATAACATTCTCAATATCACACCTCAACAACATTCATCTATATGCATTACCCCAAGTTAATGGGAGTAAAACTAACAACATTAATCAACTTATACCATACCAATGTATTTCAATAGACTCAACCATACAATCATCTACACACACACACACAAATATATATATATATATGTATGATTAAATGGTGAACATAAATAAATTAGGTAAATCTATTATATGTTCATGTTGATTGATGATATTTTTCTATCTATATTGATCTAAAATAATATATATATATATATATATATATATATATATATTATTTTAGATCAATATAGATAGAAAAATATCATCAATCAACATGAACATATAATAGATTTACCTAATTTATTTATGTTCACCATTTAATCATACAAATAACAAAAAGTTTTAAAGCAAGCTATATGTCTGGTGTCACACACCTTGTGCCGACACCATTGAAGAAGGAAGTTCTCTGTCTCACCCATACTCGACGCCACACAACTCGATCTTGATGTGGATTAGGTAGAGATCGCTAAACCCTCACATCTACCATGGAAAATGTTAGTCCCTTAGCCTCGTATAACTTAAGAGGGGGGGTAACTAACAACATGGATATACATTTCGGTAACTTATCTCATTAGAACTTCACAGTTAAGCGTGCTTGACCTAGAGTAATATAGAGATGGGTGACTTTCTGGGAAGTTTCCCAGAAATTTTGCAAGTAAGGATAAAACACGCTAAAAAGTGAAATGTCGTGAAATAGAACTCTTGGAAGACCAAATATGAGGGCTGTCACATTAATAAATTTATTAAAATTAAACAAAAATTATAATTTCTGACAAAATTTTCTCATAGAAATTTCTGACGGAATTTTCCATCAGAAATTTCTGACGGAATTTTCCATCAGAAATTTTTGACAGAATTTTCCATCAGAAATTTTTGACAGAATTTTTTGTCAGAAATTTTTCGTCAAAAATTTCTAACAAAAATTTCTGTCAAAATTTTTCGATGGAAATTTTTGTCAGAAATTTCTGACAGAATATGGTATTTCTGACAGATTTTTTTTCCAACGCCATTTTTTCTGACGGATTTAAATCCGTCAGAAAAAAAATTCGTCAGAAATTAGCATTTTTCTTGTAGTGAGATCACTTTGCAATTTCTCTCTTTACCTTCATATTTTGTTATAATTCATGTTGAATTGATAAAAAAGAATTTTAAGATAGTAAAGAAATGTTTTCTTGAATATTACAGATTGTTGATTTGTAAAATCTGATATGATATATGCAATCTGGTAAAAAAGTGAAGAAATGTAATTACTAAAATCAATTTGGATTACAACTTCTATTTCGTTGTGTAATAAATTTGATATACTTTGTATCTTGTTTGGTTTGTAATCTGAATGTAATTAGTAAAAAGTTGTATAAGAAAGAAAGTAATTAGCGAAAGAGTAAGAAAGACCATTAGAAGCCTTCTAAGCAAAGAATCTATTCAACCCCCGTCTAGATTCGTGTTCAACCCGGGACCAACACAAAGCATATAACATACTATCATAACCCGAAAATTTTTTATTTCACGAGCAATCCTTTTGAAAAATCTCATCAATTAAGGAATGCCCCAACACCAGACAAATCCTTAACTAATGTTTTTTTATTCGAAATAGGTTCATGGAGTCGTCACCAATGTTTTACTCAAAACATTGGAAAAAGAAAGAATTTTTGAAGATACAATAATGGCCTTAACAACCAAGATTGGGTTGGGGGGTCAATTACGTATAGGGAAGGTGTTAGCACCCCTATAACACCCTAAGTCAGTACCCTCATGATGAGATTAACGTAATAATGAATAATATTTTAAATACTTATATCCCCTTTTTATTGATTACATTCTTGAATCTTAAATTACATTATTGATTTTTAAAAGTTTACATAATGGTCGTTTATTCAATGTAATATTTACTACAAGAAAAGAAGAGAAGAGAATGGATTGAAATACCTCGTAATGGAGCTTCTAGTTAGATCTTCAAATTTGAGACTTTCAAGGTGTTTTTTGCCTACCTTTCACACTACAAAAATACCTCATAAATCTCAAGAAATAAAAATGGAGGAGGAGAGAGAATGATGGAAGAGCATGGGCTAAAGGCCCAACCACACCTTGTTCGCGGATTCGGCTTGACCATTGGTTGTGGGGTGTTCCACCAAGGTTGGTAGGTGTTTGATTTCGAGCTCTCAGAGGAAATTCTCGAAGCTTTGTACAATGAATTGCCTTCTGTTGTTGGTGACGAAAGAG